GCAACAGCATCAGGAGTTGGCACAGCTCCGCCGCATGGTGCAGAGCCACGAGGATGCAACTCGGGCACTCAATGCCCGATTGCTGGACCTGGAACGGGCTGTACCAGGACCAGCTGCTGGGGCTTCCAGCAGTGCACCCTCTAGCCGCCAACTGGAGGACCGCGTTGACCACTTAGTGGCAATGCTCGGCGACATCAGCACTTTCGCTGCGCCGACCACCACCATCAGCAGTCAGCTGCATACATTGAAGACCGAGGTCCAGCAGCTGCAGACGACGAACGCGGATGGCAACCCGGAGATGTATAAGATGCCAACTTTCAATCTGGAGAGGTTTGACGACTACACGCAGCAGGATCCGGTCCTTTGGTGGGAAGCATTCACAACGCAACTCAGGATTCTGCCCTTAGCCAAGCATGCGTACATTGGCGCCCTGTTACTGAACTCAAAGGGCGGATGCCAGACCTGGTTGAGCCACCTGGCAACCTCCCATGGCGTCGACGTACCAGACTTGGAAGGACAAAATCACATGGGAGGAACTGACACGACTGTGGAAGAAGCGGTTCATCGTCAACGACGCGCCGATACTCGCCATCAGCCGTCTGTTCACCATGTCACAGGGCAACATTGCAACACGGGACTGGTTCACGGAGTGGCAGAAGATTGCGGCAGTGCCCAATCTGGACCTGCCTTTCACTCATCTCAGGCGTGAGTTCTATAACAGATCCTGTGCGGCATTGAGCCAAGCTCTTGGTGATCGCGAGCAGTACTCAACATTCGCTGAAATCATTGAAAAGGCGAGGGAGATCATCAAGACCAACATGTCAGCTGCACACGAGAAGTCACCATGGCAGCCGACCTATGTGGAGAAGGTACGAACTGGTCCGCGACAGCTGCACTTCGCTGCAGTCCTAACAGGACAGTGGAGATAACCCAGCAGCCACTCCAGCATCAAGTGACGGAGATCAGGTGGCTGCTGTCCAGCCACGAAGCAACAACAAGTTCCGCAACAATGGGAAGGCGAAATCCGCATCGCAGGCCGGAAATGGACAGCCAGTACAAGTTCCATGGGTCAAGTTTGGCTTGTCTGAGGTGGAGTACAAGGTCCGCGGCCGCTACGGCAGCTGCTACTGGTGCAACAGCACCAAGCACAAGACCTCCCTGTGCCAAGATCAGGGCAAGGAGGATGTGCGACCCCGCCTCAGCTTGGGAAACTGAGCTCCGCGGAAGGTGAGGCGACTCCACCTTCTACTCTGCCAGATTCGACCGCCTTGCTAGCGACCTCCTACACATCTGGGGAGGATGCGAATGTTGCAAGTCCTCGGTATACTTACGAGGATTATGTTGTCCACTTGGTTCCACCACTAGACCAATCGCTCCACGTGCAACAGTCCACCGCATGCACGGTTTCATCACCATCGGCAACCAATTTGGCAGCTCGCCGCAATCTATCGCCGGGGATTCGACGTCATGGTCAAGACTTGAAGAGCTCGACCCRTTGACGTTCACGGACTTCCAGTGGATGCCCATTCCCTCGACCGGACGATTGCCGAAACCGCATTGCAATGTGCTCATGGCATAACTGCGGGACTACTTGCACACTGCGGTACCAGCTCTGTTGATGGACGCTAGAGCTCCGTTGATGGACGCCGGAGCAGAGGTTGTCGACCTTCACGCTTACATCGCGAAGATCGACCGCGAGTTCAAGACGCAACGGTACGACGACATCGACGCACCATTGCTATACATACGCATTCAGATTGGAGAGGCGACCTGCAGTGCCTTGATCGATTGCGGAGCGTCTCGCAACTACATCAGCCAGGACTTCATGGTGCGCGCCGGCCTTGACCCACGCGTCCGGAGGAAGTCCCAGCCTATGCAAGTCACGTTGGCGGACAGTCACACGCACAAGTCAATCGACCGGTGCATTGACAATGTCCCAGTGTACTTTGCCCCTCACGCAAGTGAGGTGGTGTCCTTCGACATTCTGGACACCAAATTTGACATGATCTTGGGCATGTCATGGCTGCGAAGCGAGGATCACCCGGTGAACTTCTTCCACCGCACTGTTCACATTCGTGATCGGAACGGAGTACTAGTTCCATGCACGGTGCCTCTTCCTCATCCTTCGATCAACTGCCACGTGGTATCCGCCGCAAGCATGCGAGCTTCCATCATCAGAGACGACATCGAGGAGATGAGGGTGTGTTTTCTCCACGCCCTCCCGCCCCATGACGTTTCATCGACGGACTTACCTTCGGATCCACGCATCACCGAACTTTTCGACGCCTACAGCGACGTGTTCGAAGGCCTGCACGGGGTAGTATCGGATCGACCCATCCAGCACGAGATCATCCTCAAGGACGGGGCCGTACCTCCGCGCGGTTGCATCTACCGAATGAGAGAGGAAGAGTCAAGTGTGCTCCACGCACAACTAGACGACCTTCTAGAGAAAGGCTGGATTCGGCCTAGCTCATCGCCATACGGTGCTCCTGTTCTCTTCGTCCGGAAGAAGAACAAGGACCTGCGGTTGTGCATCGATTATCGCAAGACGACCTTCTAGAGAAAGGCTGGATTCGGCCTAGCTCATCGCCATACGGTGCTCCTGTTCTCTTCGTCCGGAAGAAGAACAAGGACCTGCGGTTGTGCATCGATTATCGCAAGCTCAACGCGCAGACGATCAGGAACGCCGGCCCTCTCCCACGCATCGATGACGTTCTCGAGCGATTGGGCGGCGCCCAGTTCTTCTCTAAGCTGGATCTCAAGTCAGGGTACCACCAACTCGAGATTCGCAAGGAGGATCGCTACAAGACCGCGTTCAAGACACGGTATGGGCATTTCGAATGGCTGGTCATGCCGTTTGGCCTTACGAATGCCCCAGCCACTTTCCAAGCGGCTATGACAATGGAGTTCCGACACATGCTGGATCGGTTTGTACTCATCTACCTCGACGACATCTTGGTGTATAGTCGGAGTTTGGACGAGCATAAGAAGCACCTGCGCACCGTTTTGGAGCGGCTACGACAGGCCAAGTACAAAGCAAACCGCGACAAGTGCGAGCTCGCACAGCAGGAGCTGGAGTACTTGGGACACTATGTGACGCCACAAGGCATCCGTCCACTCGCAGACAAGATCGAGGCCCCACGAGTATGGGCGAGCCCACCAACACCACGGACGTTCGTTCATTCATGGGATTGGCGGGCAACTATCAGCGGTTCATCACCGGATACTCCCGGATGGCTGCACCTGTGACGAGGTTACAATCGCCAAAGGTGCCATTCGTATTCGATGTCGACGCACGCCGGTCATTCCAAGCACTTAAGACGGCTATGCTCATGGCACCCGTCCTTAGCATCTATGACCCCACCCTGCCGACGCGAGTGACTACGGACGCTTCCGGCTATGGCATTGGGGAAGTCTTGGAATAGCACGACGGCGACGACTGGCACCCTGTGGAGTATTTCAGCCACAAAGTGCCTCCCATCAACTCGCTTGATGATGCAAGGAAGAAGGAGCTGCTCGCATTCGTGATGGCTCTCAAGCGCTGGCGACACTTCCTCCTTGGGCGTCGTAGGTTCACATGGGTCACAGACAACAATCCATTGACCTACTATAAGACGCAGGACACGGTGAGCAGCACGATCGGACGATGGATGTATTTCATTGACCAATTTGACTTCACACCAAAACATGTCCCCAGCCTCTCCAATCGCGCAGCAGATGCACTCTCGCGAAGACCTGATCTTTGCGCTATGACACATCATGCCTTCGCATTCGACGAGGAGCTTCAGCGACACTTCATCTGGGCATATCAGTCTGATCCGGACTTCGGCACGCTCTATGCACAGCTATCTTCGGATCACCCGCCGGCCAACCATTACCGCATTGCCGACGGGTACTTGCTCCTCCACTCGAGAGGCAAGGACTTACTATGTGTCCCACGCGACCGTCGTCTTCGGACTCGCCTCCTCGGCGAGTATCATGATTCACGACTCGCCGGCCATTTCGGAGTCAACCGCACTATTGCACGGCTTCGACACCGATTCCTTTGGCCCGACCTCATTACTGATGTCACTCGGTATTGCGACTCTTGCGAAGTTTGCCGACGCAGCAAGCCCCGCAACCGCAATCCCTACGGCGAGTTACACCCGATGCCAATCCCACGGGAACCCGGTCTCTCCATTGCCATGGACGTCACCGGTCCATTTCCTCGCGACCGGCTCGGGCACGACGGCATCCTCACGGTTGTGGACCGATTGAGTAAGTACACGCGTTTTCTCCCTTGCAAGTACTACTCCACGACCTTCGAGTTGGCACACCTCCTGCACACTGGTTGGATTTGTGGCCACGGTGTACCAGAAGACATTGTCAGGGACCGCGACACTCGTTTTATGTCGGCGTTTTGGACTGCTCTCATGCAGGAGTCCGGCACAACAATGAAACCAAGTTCGGCTCGACATCCTCAGACAGACGGGCAGACGAAGCGGGCTTGTCAAACCGCTCAAATGATGCTTCTTACGCTCATCCGTCCGGACCAGAGAGATTGGGTTGACCGCCTCCCCGACATCGAGTTCGCCTACAACACTTCGGTGCATCCGGCGATCGGCGTGACTCCATTCGAGTACCATGTCCCATCCATCCCATTCGGTGTACGGTGGACGGAAAGGCCGGATCTTGGCCGACCTTCTCCTCCCTCGACCAGTCGACATTGACGGTGCCTGCTCTCCCGCTTCCGTCCGGAAGTACAGGGAATTGCTGACTCAAGCCCGCGCAAATATGCAAAAGGCTCAAGTCTGCATGCAGCAGCAAGCCAACAGGCGTCGCGTACCATGTGCCATCCACGCCGGTGATCTGGTTTGGGTCTCCGCGGAAGAGTTTGCATTGGAACAGGATGTTTCACGCAAACTGCTTCCCAAGTGGTTTGGACCTTGGTCT